ACGTTACTCTTAGGTTTATTAGCGCATTGACAACCTTGTAAATTAGCTCAAACAGACAGAAAACATTTCTATTAGTTTTTGTATATCTTTATACTTTGTTCAGTGCGATCTTACACATTTCGGGTTTGAACTTTTCGTTGGGAATAAGTGGTACAGCTTACATGACATATTTTATATTTAACAGCTGTACTATAAATTTGTGTGTTCGACCCTCGACGACGCCTTCGATATAGCATCACCCGAAGGATGGAGGCTGCTCTGAGGTAAATTTCCTCTTGCGGATACAGTTTTGAGTCCCCAATCTACATTTTATTCTTAAGGTAACCCGTCAGTTTTTATCTCCATCCATTTTTCATTGTTCACAGAACGACATATCTTCCGCTAATTGTCTCACTGAACTGGTGTTGTTTGTGTGTGCATGGTCGGCATTAGTGCAGAGTCGCTCTCACTGTCTTCCTTTCACTATTTTAGAAGCTTGAATATAGCTGCCTTGTCGACTGTAAATATTAAAAAATAGTATTATATGTAATTTGGCAGTCTCAAAACCTGGCGATGCCCCTTTAGGAGGTTCAATGTATTCTTTGTTTGCACGTGACGTCGGCATAAATTGAAAAACCAGAGTCAGCCATGTTGGGGGATAACCACACGCAACAATCCGTGTAACACAGCTGTCTGAAGTGTATGTTGAAGGTGTTTACGCACATACTTGTCAATGTCATGCATTCCAAATAGCTGACAATACTATTATAGCAGTACAATACTGTTATTTAAGACTTGTGCTGCAGTTTGGATTGTAATATATTGTGTGAACGGTAAATTTTTTTCGTTGGATACTACACCACCACGTGCTTTTAAAATTGCGGAAGCCGTTATCATTTCACAGTTTTAGTTTTCCCTCTTGTCATGCCACAAGTCTGTGTTGTGTTTGTTCGTTTTACATGTATGAACAAGCAAGCAATTGAAAAGTAATTATTGTTTAAGGTTTCAAGGCTTTATGTTTATTTTTTTTTTTTTTCGCATCATGGTGCATACGCATATAGTTTAGTTTGAGATTCAGCTAATTACTGATACTTGTGGGATTGATGCTGTATTTTCTAAATATTGATAATAACAACACAAAGTTGGGGATAACTACGCACATACTTTGTGGAAGCCGGTATTGTTTCGTTGGTAAAGGCAAAACCAGGTAAGTCACTGGCTCTTATTGACATGAAAGCTGCCATAGTGTGCTATGCACTCACCAATTTATCAGATTCCTTTGTACCACTTGATCGAGGTGAACTTACAACCAGTTTGATTCCAGGTACTTTATGCACAATTTTTCATCTAAAGGCCTTAGAGATGTAGTTAAGGCTAGCCATAATTTGTCAGTAAAGAACTTCAGTAATTCTCAAGTTGACAAAAACACAGCTTTAAGGTACACTTTTGACAAGCAACATTTAGTTTGTGTCGCAGATGCTAGTCATTAATAGATACCTATATGACAAACAACCATGAAGTTCAGTTAGTATTTTGACAAAGAAAGGAGCACCCTCAAAGTAATATTTTGGTGGTTGCTCAGTTAATTTTTTCTATAAGAAATTTGACAGATCCAGTCTCCTAAAGGCTCTCCTTTAAACTTCAAACATGACATATGATACCATTTTATCTTGAACAAATCATTGTCACAGCCAATTAATGTGCTACCCTCCAAATCTTGTTGACAATAGCACCAGAGCCCTTCCTCTTCTTCATAACCAGATGATGTTGATGAAGATGGGATGGTTAGAGCTTCACAGTCTGGGCAATTATTTTACTTCCCCACAATTTCAGGCAAAATGTACTCGCTATAGAAATCAGAGGAAACAGAGTGCATCTTCCCAAATTTCTTGGTCAGGGAGAATTTCTGCACAGAGATCAATTGTTGTTAACACCACAAAATCACAATATTCAACCCCACAGATAAAAATCTGGGCCTTAACTTGGTAGTCAGCATGACATTTGTCAAGATGAACTTTACCAGACTCATCTTTCTTTAAACAAAATTTGTTTTGGCCAGCAGCCTCAGCAATTGTGGAATCCTTGTGTGCATATAGACATTTAATTTCACACACAACCATCCCACAGCATTTGCAGTCAATAATCTCATCAGGGGAAGCTCCCGAGTATGGCCACCTTGAATTAATATTGAGACCACAGTCAGAAATTGTCAAAGACTCGTGGAATTGATTCATATCTATCTGGTAAGCTTTGCGAGCACTGCCCTTGTTTCACAACCCCACCGTGTGGCTGCAGTTGCAAACTTATAGGCATCAGGGTAGCATGTGGACTTGACAAGACTCTTAGCAGGCTTAGTAGTATTTGTTTTGCAAGCAGTTTTTCAATTGGAAGCAGTAATATGACCTGCCTGCCTGCCATTTGGTACCACATTTTTTTTTTGAGACTGTTTTCTGGTTGAATATTCTATTGCTTGACACTCATCAGGCACAATCCCAAGCAATATTTGTTGACACTGCTGCAACAACTCTATGTAGTCTAACTGCAAACACTCTTCTCTAAAAAACAAAACAAAGCTATCGGGCAAGTGCTTGGGTACATTATCAATTTCTTTACAAGCTCATTTAAAGGTGCGACAAGGGACAAAACTGCTGGTTCTACTGTACAGCCAGAAATACTTCTAAAAATAGTTTTCTACTCTTCTGGGGTTGGGGTGGGTGTCCTGGTTGTTTGAATCCCAGGGTTTAAGTAGCCATAGGAGTAACCTGTTCTCCACCATCAATTCATGCTTACCTCAGGCAGAGGTAAAATCCATCTCACTTACAGGTAATGGGGGATTTCTTTGTGTGCATGTGGTAGAATCTCTAATTCTAACACCGGCCTCCACAGCAAAAAGCTCTGCCCCAACATGAGACCACCCTTCACATAACCCTACCATGCAAAAGCAATGGGAAGCAATCACATTTTTCTGCCAGAAACCATGTTCAAAGTGGGATGTCCCAGGCTCTCTGTGGGCGATTCACCTCTGAAGTGATCATGAGGGTACACAAAAAGTCTTAATTCTAAATCCAAAAATTTAGATCCTTGAATTATGCCTTATCGCTTGCTAATGTGAGTACTATGGGTGATATGTCTTCTGAACTTGCAGCTGTTGTGTCAAGATCAACTAGATCGCTCTGACAAAGGGCTAATACACATAACGTCAGCTTTTAACTCTATGATGGCCAATTTACAATTTCAACTAAGTTGAAATAACCAAATTACCAAGTAAAACAAGAGTTGTTAGCCGAGTTCAATAAAAAGAGTCTTTATTTTGCTCTGTTTGCTTCTCTCCGAGATCATCAGAAAAAATACACTACCGTGACTAACTCTGGCGAACACAACAACTTCATTTGGGTTTTTGTATTAAGTAGTTCACTTTATCTGGATATTGAAGGTTTGCAGTTTTTCTCAACGCATATCGGTCGAAGCCTTAAACAGTTATTTTTTTGTGGTACCTTGACTTTGTTGGACCCTCCAGACCCGCAAAGTAAACCGAATACTGAAGGTTCACATCGAGCACATCTTTGGAAGAAGTCATTTTGAAAGCTTAGTTATCCCCCAACATGGCGGCCGTGTATAACGTAGCGAATTTTTGTCCCGTGGTTGAAAACAAAGAATGTTCAAAACTGAAAGTATTATTTGAATTAATTTCAATTACGGAAGTACTTCGCTACTCTGTAATGATCCTAGTGATGTTCTGTACTACTTGTGCTTTTAAACTGGCATTATGAGGCTATGAAATTGTGCTGTTGTGGTTTATGCTACAAGATGGAAGCTGTATATCTTTGTTTTTTTTTTTTGTTTCATAATTTTCAAAATCGGCCATCTTTTCCTTCTCAGCTCCAGGTTCTAAGATCAAAAAAATTATACAGTAACTTAATTATATTAGTCTTTTAACTTTAAAACTATACATTTTATTTTACTAATGGTTCGGTTAATTTGAAATTCAGGTATTCAGGAAGATGGCGAGTGAGGTGGTGAAGTAATAAATTTTCAGGAAACGCAGGGAATGGCAACAGCTCCCTCGACAGGGTAAGTTGTAGGTTGCTTACTATTAGGAAATGTTCACAAGTGCTTGTGAATGTGTGAATTATTGTCATAGATGTTCTTTCGCCCACGAAGAAAAATAGCCAGTTGCATGAAATTAAGGGGGCATTGTACATTGGCAGGAGCCCATCACTTGGGCTCCTGACATTGGACAATTGCGACCTGAACTAGATGCACAGATGCAACACAACAGTTTAATTATATCATATAATTGTACAGCTTTTAGTTAATCTGAGGTTATCAGCATAGCTATCATTCATTCATTCATTTTAAGAACTATCCATGTGCCAGTTTCCACTGTCACACCATCATCAAAAACCATTCAACAAATAAACTCATGAATCTGAGAGATAAAGAAGATGAACATTCAACTTGTCTTGCAAAGATTTAGGTCTGTGCAATGTTTCATGCAGGGGATATCCTAGGAAATGTGTTACTCAAATTTCTAAGGCTTTGTATGGAGAGGCCATGTTTGTGTCCCTCAGAGGGGCACAAATATGGCAGCTGGAAACTTATGAAAACATATGGCATCAAGTTTTGTTATGAAAAGCTTGTCCTCAGAATTTTTTCATCCAATTAATTCAAAATTGGACTGCGTGTAGTCCTATTGCACAATCATATACATTCAAGTAATTTGTGGTTAGTCATTATCATGATGATTAACCACAAACTATAATGATAAATAACACTTCGAAAGAGAATTATAATTGTTTGTCTCACAGTGTGGTCACTTCAGATGTGGATCAAGATGTTTTGACTGCACACTGCTTGTCTTCTTGAGCCAATGATAAGGTCAACTGAGAATGCGTCACCTATATACTATTAGATTAACCTTCCAAATATAAAAGAAAACTGGAAGTAAATTGTAGGTTCACCTGTCACATTTCTCACATTCTTACTGTCTTGAAAGCACATGGATTAAAATGTCAAAATATTTTTTGACTCAATAAAAACTCTGAAGCTTATTTTCTTCACAGTTAAATTAACATGTGTATAAGTCCTTTCTATTTAACATCTCCAAAGCAATCCTCTTGATTCGTTCACATCTGCTGCACTTTCACCAAATGTTACATTTAAGTTTGGAGTTGAACCTAAAATGTTTTCAGAAAATGTTATCCCAGTTTCTCTTGAGAGAAATAAATTCTGTTTACGTATCTAGTGCTTTGCACTAAAGATTATGGCCTTAAATCTTTCATTCTTGTATGCATTTTGCTGCCTGTTTGTAATCAGCTGTGAGTTTTTGGGAAGGAAAAAAGTGCTTAAATCTCTAATTCCATATTTGCAAAAATTGCACCCGTGCTTCTGATCGGCCAGCTAATAAATGCCAGCTTGTTTTTGGACAATATCAGGAAATTGAGATGCTTCTGGGTCATGAGCTGCTACAGTTACTCAATCAGCTCTGTTGAAAGCTCTGTAGTTTTAAGTTTACTTATGTAATCCTCAGGTCAAGCTACCTCGTTTTTACTGACAATCAGAGACGATGGCTTGTAGAGGGAATTGCACTCAACACAATCCTTATACCACAGATACGTCCATTTGTAGAACAGGGAATCAACACTGAATACAACACCCTAAAGACCAGTCATAACATACATGTTCAGAGCTCACGTACCCGTCTTAAGAGGTGGCCTGCTACAAAGTTCTTAAGATATGAGAACATCAATGGAAATGATGCTCGTCCCAAGCTTCATGGTGGAAAATTTCATTATTCTTTGTTTGATTGTCATGTGAATTCCCACGTGGACTTTGCCAGGCTGTATGTTGAGAAGCACATGGCAAAGTTCACTGCCTTTGATGACCATTGTGATGCATCGGCTGTGTTGTCTTTGCTTGGTGGGGTTCCTGTATTCTCTGCTGCTGCAAGTGCTGCAGGTGATGTGAGAAAGGCACGGAATGATTGGGCACACTGTGTCTTCAGTAAATGGGATCCAGCAAAGTTTCGGAAATGTTTCACTGAGATGGAGCAACTGGTCAAGAACTTGGCCTTACCTTCTGTAAATGAAAGGGAGCTTCTTGGAGAATTGAAAGACTGGGAAACTAAAGGTAATTTTTTGTTGTCATTTATTTATTTATTTAATCACTTTCACCAGAGTGTGGTGAGGGTCGCACAACAGAGTGAGGCTCCAAATTAAGTGCGCCCAATATCCCACCCATCCCACCCTAGG